ATCATTTGGTCATATTATAACTGTAATCCTATACATTGTATTACATCCATATCTTTAGATGTAAAATACAAATGTCATAATGTTAACTGTACTTCACTTGAGATTAAATTCATTTCGGTGGGTTTTCGGTGATGATTTCTACAATTATTTACAACAATGTTATTTTTCTTCTTGTGTGATTGATTCTATTAACCATGTAACTGTTGGTTTAGGCACGGTGAATTGAATGATAGTGATGTTTCAGGTGGCGGCTTTCTTTCCAAATTTTTTTCTTTCCCGCAAAATAAATTAATTGACCAGCTAGTAGTGTTTTTTTGAGCCGTCCTTGATGTACAAGAAAAGTGTACACTTTTTATATGCTCGTCTGCTAGGACAGAGCCAGGATGCGACGATATAGAGGTCATTATATTTCATAGCTCATTAATCCAAACATATCTAATACTCCGTATTATGTAATATACTTGTTGTGATGAAATCATTATGCATTTATGCCCCCTAAACAAGGCGGGAAACACGGGGTGGATGGAATTTTTTATACTACTCCCTCCGTCCCAAAATGGTTGGCCAAATTTCCTTTTTTGGCCGTCCCAAAAAGGTTGGCCATTTCCATTTAAAGTAAGGACTATGTGGCTAACGTTAATTCTCTCTCCTCTGCACAAATTTCAACCATACAGTTTTTACTTTATTAATCCACGTGCAAGTCAACATTGACCAACGATTTTGGGATGGAGGGAGTATCTATTAAAAATTTGGGAGGTGATCAAAGTATTTTTCACTTATACGAGTACAAAAATAAAATAAAACTTGAGGGGGTTCAAATTTTTTTACAAAGTAAAACATAGTAAAAGTAAAATAATGGGAGGGGTCAAGACCCTTCTAAGTTCTAATCATACACTAGTATTCTACCCGTGCGATGCACGGGAAAATATATTTCTATGGAAATGTAAGATTTTGAATCATGTGAATAACTCATGTAATTTAATAATTTCTCACGTACACATTAGATTGTCATAATGTAATAACATGAATTGTAAATATGAATGATCAGAAAAAAATCTAAGAAACAAAGGATTTCCACAATAATAAAAGCATATTGAAGGATGAAAGTTATAAATGTTTTACAAATTTTCAAAATACTTGCATAAATACAACATTTGTTGTGACATTGATAATTTTGCGACATTTGTGAAATATAACTATTTTCAAACCATCGATATGAGTAACACACGAAAGAAGAACATACAACTTCCGACCATGGCTGGAAACGGGTTTTCGCCAAACTTATTCCACGTTAGGCATTGATTGTCTTTGACTCGTGTTGAAAGTCAATGGGATATGAGACAATGAGAAAAATTTGTGCTCTTTGAAACTTGAAAGGCAACCTCGCTCAAATCGTTTGGTAAAAGGACATTCTTGTTATTAACTTCTTTTCACCTATGTTTAAAAAATGGACCACGAAGGAACTCAGTCACATTACCGGTCACGGGTCAACCCGGTCAACCATATAATAATTATAGACAAATATAATTGTACACAAAATTAGAATAAATGGTAGTTATTATTCATAATAATCAACTAATGATAATTCTTACTAAGTATTTCAAAGTTAAAACAATCTCACAATATTCCAAAATACCATTTTGTTCTTACTAAAATACATAATGATACTACGTATTTGTTATTTGTATTGTACATTTATTATATAGATTTGACATGATTTTCATTCTTAAACAAATAAATAGTATACAAATATATTGCATATTTTTTCTTTTTATGGTATTGAATTTGCAATTTTATTTGTTTAAAAATCTTTAAAAAAAATTAAAAAAAGTTTATTTTCTGGAAAAAGACAATCAAAACCGGGGTTTTATTGGTTTGGGTGTGGACCTGTTTTTTTCAGGTCAGTCGGACCGGGTCAATTTTTTAAACATAGCTTTTTTGCTTCCAAAACATGTTTACTTAATCCGGTAATAACCACTCTAGGGAGAATCGTATATGGCTAAAATTAATACCATTAAAATTGATTCATTACCAATTGAATTTACTCCAATCTAGAGAATTTATTCCATATATCTATACTACTCATGTTTTGTTTAAAATATTTATAATAATTGGCAGATCCGGCCCAAAAGTCCAAAACCCAAAACCCAAAACCTCCTTTACGCAAATCTTGCGTAACATTCCCATCCCAAAAGCTACGGCCTCACCTCCGCACCTATACGGTGGACTCGTATCACCAACACCCGCCTCAACAACTTCGCCGACCACAACCCTAGCCATTGGCACTCGACTCTGCGTTAACCGATTACCGATAATCGTTTTTCATATGTCATCACTTGCACCATCTATGTTTGCCGACCGCAACCATTAAGCTCACAGATTGATCGCCGCTGTCTTCGTCCTCACCCACAACCGATCATCATGTACATTCGGCGACTCCGACGACTGCTAGCACCTTTACTACCACCAATCTTCAACATTTTTTTCATAGGGAAGTACTACAATTTAATGACTTTAATTAATTTCTTTTTCATACAATTCTAAAGTACATTAATATAGTTTCTTTTTAATTTAAAAAGATACTCCGTATGTATTTAGTTTGTACACGTCATATACATTTGCTTGAAAAGCATTCCGTTCAAATTTATATTTAATTGAATAAGAACTTCATCACTTCATCTTCTTTCTAGAGATCCTGTCATCCAAATGGGGACGGTTTGCTACCTTCATCGTGTTCTTCACTGCCTTTCACCTCGAATAAATTTAATCCAATCAAACGAAGATGAAGAATGATGATAAGAGTGTGATTCTACTACTAATTGATCTTTGAGACTATCAATTCCAGTATAGGTAAGTGTTGTGTATCTAGTAGTTTTTATTTGAATTTTCACAGTCTTAAATGATATATTTCATCGTTTTTAAGTATCTACATGATTATCCTAATTTTCCTTAGCAAACGAATTCCATGATTATTTTAATAGTCGTATAATTTTCATGTGAATTTCATACATGAGAGCATGATTAAGGTAATGCTATTATGATTCAATATTATAGGAGAATAAATGAAATTTGAAATTCAAATTGTTTGGTTTTAATGTATCCAGTTAACTTTTAAAATTGATTTAATTTGAAACACCAATGTTTTTGTATTATCTCTACTAACAGATGTGAAATAGTGTTTTCATAAATCTATTTTATTGGAGTAATTAGAGTTTTTTTTATGCTAAATAATACGGAGTACTTTCTACTGATGTTGAAATTCAAGCCATTTAAATGAAGTGTTTAAACACAAGTAATAGATTCTTTTTTTAAATTGTTAAATTTATGCCGAGATTTATGCACCTTTAGATTAGTTTGGGTAGGTGCCATTTGTGGCTTGAACACAAACACAAAAATACAGAAAAGTTAAAGAGAAGGGTACAGTGGTATGGACTTTTTCCAAATAAGAAAAGTTTAGCTAGCAATCGTAATATTGTAATGTATTATATAGTTTCATAATGTATTATGTGGCTATGTGAGTTGTGCTGAAAGTATTTTTCTTCTATACAAAAGCTGCAATGCGACAAATCCTTCTTAAACCTAACATATTGTCTAAAATTTTATTATAACTTAACTCTAACTCAGAAATTATGCTAACACATTAATCACTTTGAATATGTTTTAATTTTAATCTTAAACTATTTTTTGTTTTTTATGTTAATAAGTCAAGCCCAAAATTTGAAATCCAATTCAAATAAAGTGATTCTTAGGACATGACACATGCATAGGAGTCACCAGCAACGTAGTGCTGGTTCTCATCACTTTTAAATAAAATTACAGGTATTGCATAAACCCAAAAACTTCCAACCTAAAGTTTTTATTGCTAAAACATGTTTTATTAACATTGCAACCAATGACCAACAATATATGAAAATGAAAATATTACCTGTTAAGACTCGTACAGTTCATATATGGTTTTAAATGGCTGCATCAAACTCTTGATTTATTTACCGAAACTCAATTGTGTATTTGTTGTAGTTGAAACTGAAAGTTTTATCATGTTTTTGCTTCTTTGTAGTAATTTCCTTGGACTGCAAGCAGTGATGAAGTTGTAAAAAAGTGGACCCCCTAGCTATTTGTATAATAAGCAAAGGTGTAGATGAATGATGGTTGTATGAACCGTTGATCTCAGGCTTTGATGTGGGAGAACATTTTGGCCAGCTTCGTTATATGACGGCAGAGAAGCAGATAAGTTAGTACACCGTAGTATATTTATAGTAGAAAGTTTGTTTTATGCTAGAATATGAAAAGCCACATTTTGGTAGCGATTATTAAACGACCACATGTTGAACAATGTGATAGCACAATCAATGCATAAGTGTTGAGCAATGTGGACCGCATTCTTTGCATACACACCTTTTTATGGAGAAGATAAACAGTCTGAAGCCATCATAATTACTGCATTAGTTGCTCTAATCTTATAGACGACCAATACTACATACGAAGTATATCATTTCAAATGGATTGAGCTATTCCCGCCCAAAATCTCGCCCAAAGTTGCTCCACACTTTTCTGTTTTAATATATATATAGATAGATTTGCCTCCGCCCCCCTCGGCATGTTACATTTGATGACTGCTTTTAAAAGAACTGACTATGAGCATGTTTGAGAGACATAAGTCTTCGCCTTCTAGCTTTTGTACTGTTTAAAAAGTCTCTAAAAGTTTCCAGTGGTATGTTTGACATGACAACTTTTAAGAGATTTTCAAAAATTAAAATATCTTTTTTGAGATGCTACATGAAGTATCATCTGAGGAAAGTCCGTGACTTTTAGTATTAATTCGTCCTAACAGTTTGTATATAGGAAAGTCCGTGACTTTTAGTATTAATTCGTCCAAACAGTCAGTTTTTTACCAAACAATTACCACCTTTTCATTTTAAGATCTTTGTCAGTAAACTAATCATTACTAAAAAGTTTACAAAATGCGTAGTACGGAGTATTAGTCAACTAGTCAAGTCGTCAAGACTGATCGTATTCCACTGCCAAATTTCCATCACAGCCGAGGGAAAAAGTGCTCAGTGTTGTAAAAGATGGGTGCCGGTTCATCAAAGAACCTAGCCAGCGGCTCCTGTGGAGATGTCAACTGGGAAGACCAAGGCGGAGCTTTGCTCCATGTCTCCCTCAAAATTGACGATTTTAAGCTCAACGTCAAATCCGACCTCATTCCCCACGTCTTCGGCTCCGTCCCACTCGCTGGCCTCTGGGACTCCTCTAAAGCGGTAAGGTCCTATTCACTCTTTTACTTTCGCCTAATTGTGCTTTGCATGCGCACGTTCTTCGTCATTACAGTTTGAATGCGCTTCAGTAATATAATCCAATCGATTCAAATATTCAATTCGCTGTTAACTCCTCCCTAGCTTCCAATGGAGCGCGAATCATCATCAGTTTGGCAATTGAGCTTTGTTGTCCCGCCTAATCACGGTTAGTCTGCTGCAATTCATAAGCTAAGTTATCCTATCTGGTCGAGCTCATAAAATAGTAGCGTTTGGTTGTTCTGATGTAGAAATGCTGGAGTTTAAGTTTCTATTCAAACCTAAGCATGATTCTGGGCCGTGTATTGTGGAAGAGGGAGCTAATCGTGTACTTGTTGGGGGGACACTTCAAGGAGATCGGCAGACAGCATTGTTTAAGTTCAATGAAGAGGAGCTCATTGAGTCTAAGGTGTATAGTGTAGTGGGGTTAGTTTCTCCATTTGATCTTTCTGCAAGTTGGAGAGCTTTTCATGAAAATCGCAAGCCTTCCACTGTCAGAGGGATGCCGGATGTTATTATCAATTCGAGTACACAGATAGGCTATGAGGTATGGTTTCAGTCTACCTAGTTTATTTTTTTTCAATATGACGGGATGTCTTCTTTTCATTCCATGGCTGCATTACCAAATTTCAATAGACAATTTCTCATGACTAGCATATGTACACTACACAGAGTGGGTCTTCTACGAACGCCGAGCTTGATATTGAGCGTTATGTTGTTCCATCTCCGGCACCATGGGAAAACTCTGGACTGGTTTATGCAGCCAACTTGACCGAGACTCCGAGATCATTGAATGGTTCTGGGGTATTTTCTGGGTCTTATAATGTTGTTAATCCATATACTGATAAAAAGTAAATAAAATTATCACTATGGAAAAAAGATTATCTGTTTTGATTACCCTGAGAATTTTTATCATCATTGTACTAAAAAATTTATTATGATGAATGTTATTTAGGAGATGGAAGCAGAAGTCCAAGATCAATTCAAAGAGCCTTCAAATTCTGGCATGGTTGAGTCAACATCTCTTGGAACCTTATCGTTACAAAATAACAATACTCACAAATGTACTTCTGTGGATAGAGGTGTAGGGTCCCCCAGACTAGTTAAATCACCCTGTACAACCACCTTCACTCTTGATCCAAATATAAATTTAGAAACAAAGGTTTGTTGACCGAAGTCCTATCTGTATTATGTCTGCAAGCTGTAACTATTCCATAGACGCACATCTGATCCACTTTTAACTCTTAGAATCCAATGCCAGCTGCTGCTGGGGCTGTTGCTGCTGCTGCAATTGCAGATAGGATGCTTGGGCCTAAGGAGGACAGGCATCTAGCAATCGTCTTGGTCGGTTACTTTTATGTTCTATTAGCCTTTTATTTGTTTATGATGCAAATGCTTGTTTGGGTAAAAATGTTTGATGAGAGACATCTACCAGAAGTGTCTCTATTGAATGGTAGAATGATTTTCATAAAAGGAATGAAGAAAAAATGTGCTTGCTCTGCAGGTTGGTTTGCCAGCTCGCGGCAAAACGTTTACTGCAGCTAAACTTACTAGGTATCTTCGTTGGTTAGGTCATCATACCAAGCACTTCAATGTTGGGAAGGTTTTCTGTGCTACCTCAATCACTATAATTTATAAATCCTATTGCACTTAATAAAATAGAGATGTTTTATTTGTTTTTGTTTTAATGCTTAACAGTACCGGCGCCTGAAGCATGGAACTAATAAGGTACTTCATATTTCTGCCAACCATTTTGGTGGTAGACATATTTGTCTAGGGCACATCCTGCACTCTCTTGATTCTTACAGCATATTATTCGATTTCTCTAAATAATGCATCTAGAGTAAATTCTGTCCTATGATCCTATCTTTAGTCGTTTGCAACTCGAGATGCTAGGAGACTCTAGACCATTTGGTTTTGCACTATGAGATAAGCCAATGTCCTATGCCGCCTAGGTGCTGATTACGACAAAGGCATCCTATCAACCTAGCTATCAGTCTAACACTGGATTTCTTAAAAAGGATTAAGACATAAGAGTCATTCCCCCATCCTCACTATGACCCAAACCCCACCGCATAGCAGGTGTTGATGAAGCATTTACTACTAAACCTCATCTCATTGTGATCTGCTGCCTATATTTTGACAATCTATTTTTTTCAAGATCCTAGGATAAAATGACGTATATTTCTATTTTTAATATATTCATACATGTTATATGTCATTTGGATGCTATAGAATGTGTAGATGAATGGATGTACTAATTACTGAGTTGTTTACTCTATTGTGTTAGCCTGTTAGGTGCTTTCGGAGTTTGGGTTTACCTTTAGGATGTCGAAGGGAATTAAGGTGTTTTTAAAATGCTTACGGATAGTACAATCTTTATGTAAAAGTGTAATACAAGTTAATAAACTTACGAAATGAGTTTGAATTTCATTTTCATTTACCCCAGTGCCGCAAAGGCTCCCACCTACAGTGAGGTAAGAGGGGGTCGGATGTACGCAGTCTTACCCCTGTACTAAAGCACAGAGAGATTGTTTCCGGATGACCCATAGTGAAAATCGCATCCAAAATTGCATGGACTGACTGTTGCTTCATAACAAAGAGGCACAGACAGTTTAGTGAGCCATTTTGCTTTATTCCATCAGTTTAGTGAGTTTGAATAAATATATAAAATTGATTTATTGAGTTTGAACTAACTATTTCCCTTCAAATTCTTCCTTGCAATTTCCCTCTCTATTTTCCTCCATATCTTATGCCCTAGCATTTTCTTGCTCCAAGCAAAGCTTTAAGCTCAACATTGAACTATTGAGTAATACAAGTTACAAAAAGTTCTTGATGATATTCAAGCCTCTGCCCCTAGGCTCCAAGGCACGTTTCAGCTGCCCACCTATTGCCTAGTGATATTCGAGAATCTGCAAGAATGCGGGAAATTAGCCATATATTAATTACAGCCGGTTTACTAATTGAAAACTGGTTTCAAGCTAGAATGTCAGATATTTCAAGAATTTATTGCATCATCTGTATTCTTCTTTATGCAGTGGGCTGATTTCTTTCGTGGTGACAATCCTGAAGGTCTGGAGGCTCGAAATGAGGTATATTTTGTTTACTGTAATTTTATGGGTCATCATATACATCTCATGATCATAAAAGAAAGAACACCATATGAATTGTCTAATTTGTCTTAAAGAAAATCCTTCAAGACTTTATTTCCTGGATAAGTAAAATTCTTTCTCTGATTAAATGTGAAAAGGTGTAGGAAAAGTAATCTTTTCATCTCTATTAGTGCCTTAACTTCATAAATTTCTTCCCCTTTTCCTTATTGGGTTGCCAACTTTCTTCATCTTTCCTTTTAAGGAAATCTTTGTGTGTCTGACATTGTTTTTCTCATTTCCCGATAAACCACAAAAACACCATTTGAATTTCTTAATAAGGATGTCAAGTCATAGTGGGAAGAAAGTTTAGGGATGCAGGCAGTATGTTTTATATTTTATGTTGTGAATGCGAGCTATAAACAAATTAGTCAGCACCCTATACTTTGTTAGACATGTTCTTTCATGCTGCTAATGAAGCATAGACAATGATGCATATGCAGATTCATAATTTTGTTATGTTGTATTACTTGTATTTTATTTCTGCTGTATCATTTTTTGCTTTATACATAGTTTTAAGTCGTTGCACACTACTAGGTAGCCGCCCTTGCTATGGAAGATATGATAGCATGGATGCAGGAAGGTGGTCAGGTACGTTTTTCTATACTAAGATGAGGATTACACTTTCAATGATTTAATTTAATAATGTCAATTGATCCCTAACTTCTGCAGGTAGGAGTGTTTGATGCCACTAACAGCACCTGGCAAAGAAGGAATATGCTTATGAAAATGGCTGAGGGGAGATGCAAGGTATGCTTGTACTTTACATTATCATTCCAAATTCCAATTATTAGATATACTCATTCCAGCGGTTGAATAATGAAATTCTTCAATGGAAATCAGTCAAATACCCATGGGGATACCTAGTGGCTGGCCTATGTTGCTATGTCTATATTTCTTTGTGTGCTCTATTGAATGCAGAGTTGGAGTGTTAGCTCACTTAGCTGGTATTTCTTTTGCACGGAATCAAACCTTTTGTGTGAAAGTTTAGATTAGGCATTCCTAAAATAACATCTTATATTGTATTTAGGAAATTTCTTGCATGCTAAACTAGGTCCAGAAGCATATATTACATGCCAATTACTTCCTCGGTTTCATTTTACCTGGCTTACTTTCCTTTTTGGGTTGTCCCAAAATAAGTGTCAACTTTCCCTTTTTGGAAAGAAATATGTGGTTCACAACATTTCACTTTACTATACTCAAATCTCATCCATCATTTTTACCTTTTCAACCACTTTATTAAAAATTGTGCCAAAACCAAAGGAGACACATAAAATGGGACGGAGGTAGTACAACATTTAGGTAGATCTTATCATCTTAGTTGGTGGCAAACTAAGTTGTATAATTATCTGCAACTGATCTGAAATTTTAGTCCTAAATCCTAATGGTATTTTCCCTTGGTTTTGTTTCACTTGCAGATTATTTTTCTGGAAACAATTTGCAACGACCCTGAAATAATTGAAAGGAACATTCGACTCAAAGTTCAACAAAGCCCAGACTATGCTGAACAGTATTGTTGCGATAAACACCTATTTCTTATTTATAGGGACATTATTAATATACTTCTTTTATATTATTATTATCCAAATTAAATTTCATTTTGGCATTGGTAACAGGCCAGATTTTGAAGCAGGATATAGAGACTTCAAAAACCGTTTGGCTAATTATGAGAAAGTAATTTGCTTAAAGATGTTTCTTACAACTACTCATAGTGCTTGTTTGGTGGAAGGATAATAAACCTGATCCCTCTTCATCCCTCATCATCCATTTTGTCCACCAAACAATCATTTTCTTCACATTGACCAAATATGGTGTTAATACAACAAGGTAATTCAGAATTTAGTTCTTTTTAATGAAATAATTGAAATGAAGTGAAAAGGTGATGTTGCATTACACCCTTTACATAACTAAATATACATTTCCTTCAATTTATTAAGAAAACCAACTGAACACTATAATTTATTTTAGACTTTTTGTCATTTAAACAAATCAGCATATTCAGCTATTTTAGTCATTTCAGTCCTCAAAACAAATTTACAGTTCAATAATATTTCTCCCCCTTTTTTCTGATAGGTGTATGAGCCAGTTGAGGAAGGATCTTATATCAAATTGATTGACATGGTCAGTGGCCATGGTGGACAAATACAAGTAAGTGATCTTAACTGTCTAAAGTTGCAAAGAGTACAAGGCGCCTGCCGCGCCTCATTTCTTTTATGCTTTGTTGATAAAAAATAGTATTTTTATGAATCTGAAAAATAGCTATTTAATAAGCCTCATCATCATCATAATAATAATCATCATCACCTTAAATCCCAACTATTTTGGATGGTAACATTAAATTATATTGTCAACCATGAGACACACACACGTCCATGATTGAGAATTTGAGATAGTTGTTGTAGTCATGCACTCTCACATGAATATGCTCATAGAGCCGAATGAAAGGAACATGGAGAAGTATTGTGGAAGGAGACTTCCTGTTAATATGACATTATTAGTAATGAATATATCAGATTTTTTTATTACTAAGACCCAAGAGTCCGTAAAATATTTGAGTAACCCTAAACCCATTACAAAACTGGTATTAAAAATATTAAATAAAATACACTATTAGTACTAATAGGAAATTACTAATATTATATTGCAAACTAATACCAATATTATTGAAGGAAATGAAAGGGTTGATTGTTAGATTGAAGGGGATAAGAATAAGAATCAGTGTCATGGTGGAGGGGAACAAAAAGGGTGATACTTTAATTACCATGGGAGGTTGGTAAATTCCCCAAAAGTGGAGAACGAAATCACTATTGACCTTTCTATACTTCCTCCCAAACATCACTTTGATACCTACTCCCATTCACCTCCTCTCAAACCCTCCAACCAAGCACACCCAATAATAATAGGAAGTCTCCTTCCTTGATACTTCTCCATGTTTTTTCTGCAAGGCCCTAACATGGGACATGCCCATATCATATTTATACCGTTACAAGTAGGGATGGACTCGGGCTGGGCCAACCGGCCCGGAACCGGACCGGCCCGCTACTGTGCGGGCCCGGCCCGGCCCGGTGAACTGGTTAGTGCCCGGTTCGGGCCACCCAGCCCGGTGGGCTTCGGTTCCGGGCTCGGGCCCTCCATTTGGTGAACCGGCCTGGCCGGTTCGGGCCCAGTCCGGGTCGAATTTATTTTTTTTTTCCTGATTTTTTTTAAGTTTTTGGGTTGGGCTGGGTATTTTGGGCCATTTGAGGTGGTTTGGGGTGGTTTGGGGGTGAGGGGGATGGGTTGGGGGTTAAATAGGAGAAGCCAAAAAAAAAAAATTACAAACCGGGTGGCCCGGCCCGGCCCAGAACCGGTGGCTACCGGTTCGGGCTCGGGCCCAACAAAACAGAACCGCGAACCGGCCGGGCCCGAACCGGAACCGGTCCACCCCTAGTTACAAGATCGGTATTGTAATTCGTAAAAATTAGCATGCTAATAATAGTGTTGAATACATTTGCTTGTTAAGAACTTCTTCTCGGAGCCTTTCAAAGAGGTCAGAAGTTCATGCAGCTCTACTAGCGCATGATTCGTGATGTATTTGTTTTAGTTCATAATAAGATCGTGGGTTTCATAGAGAGATTTGTGAATGAGCTGGTGCCAGACTTGAGAGTGGAACTTCAATAGATGGAAAGACCATTTTCTCCACTGCAAGGGGTAGCGTCCTTGCTACCTGATTTGCATGATATCCCTCTCCATTTTAATAAAAAAGGGATATGGGAGTATATTCCTGTTAGATATGATATGGAAACTTAACAGATGACCCATCGTGTTTCATGATACTCAGATACTCAATATATAACTCCAGATGCTTGTACAGTCTAATAATTAATATAGTTGGCACTGCATTTACTTTTCACCTATGTAACTAATGTAAGCCATATGTTGTTCAGCTTTTCAGTCATAGTGGCGTAAGACTGTAAGAGATTAAAGAAGTATTATGAAAATAGTATGCCATTGGATAACTGATACAGATTGCATTTATTGCACTTATTGCACTAAGCTTGTAGGTGTCGAATTTCAAATTTCAATAACCATAAGTAAGATATTAACCTAAGCATGCCTCCTGAATTAAATTTGGGGAATGATTGAAATCATAATACCCTTCACAAAAAATTATAATTAGCTTTACTTTAGATTCTATGGAAAACTATTCTTTTGTAAGGAATAAGGATTTACTGGGCCAGTTTGCTTCATTGGAACTTTTACATTGGTTTCAAACAGTATATTATGAGTATTTAGGTCGTTGTAACTTAAAAGTAAGTAAATTATATTTTTCTTGTTAAGATTCATTTAGTTGCTTTAAACTTTTCCTTCTTCTACTTCTGTACAAGCTTTCTTTAGTTGGGTGCAGAGTGCTTCTTCACTATAAGTTGGAGGATATGCTAACAATAGTTTAATGTTCTAGCTGGTAGCTTCAAATAAGTATAAAATATTTTGCATCATACAGTTGTAATTATTTCTGTTTATGTTTGTTATTTTGGAACCCTTTCTTTAGTACTAGAAAAAATTAGGTTTATAGGTGCTTTTGTAAGGCTTATCTGGAGCCGCCTATCATCCAATGGAGATATGTATTTTACAGTTTTTAGCCATAAGTCTGTAGAGACCTTGCAGGCTTGCAGCTAATTTTGCTGATTACTTGTTTTTCTTTGGCAGGTGAATAATATAAGTGGCTATCTTCCGGGGCGGATTGTATTCTTCTTGGTATGCCACTTAATTCCAATAAGATATTGCTCTAACATTTGAGAGATAGCATCACTAGAACTATGGCTCTCTATCTTAACCCATCTTGATAGCGATAAATTGTAGCCCTAGCCATATTGAGACAGGTTTGTATGAGTCCCTTTCATCCCATTGCTAGACTAAACCTGCTAATATTCTATCCAAATGATTTATTTAGCTGGATCTGTGACTGGGACCAGTCCAACTAGTGTTTTTCTTAGAGGTTCAAGCTTTTCTGATGTAGGTAAATATGCATTTGACACCCCGTCCAATATTGCTTACAAGACATGGAGAGAGCCTAAACAATGTTAGAGGCAGAATTGGGGGTGATACTGCTTTAAGGTACTCACTTTTTTCTTGTCCCACATGGATTATAATATTTCTATTTGTACTTCAGTCTTCATGAGGGAGCCTTATGCAGTTAAGCGAAATCAGGTTGCGCTAATTTAAGGCTCTGACGTTCAAATAAATAGTTGCTAATATATATTTGATTGGATTTTAGAATGCAGTTTTTTCTTTGAACTCTTGTTTACTCTCCCACCCTAAAAGGAAGAGTCTTTTGGGTAGTATTATGTTTTGGATGCTCATTAAAGTGTTCAAAATGTGTGTTATGTCTCGTTTATATATTTCTGGCTAGTTATGACGTCATTAGTACTGACAATTCACTAACATTTTCTGTTTACAGTGAGGCTGGGGAGCTTTATGCAAAGAAGCTTTCAAATTTTGTGGAGAAACGTCTGAAAAATGAGAGGGCTGCATCTGTATGTTCATGCCCCTTCTCATTGATATTGAATTACTCCATTCCCAAAAAATCACGTTTCAAACACTTTTTACCCAAAAAAGAGTGATGCTTGTTCCAAGAAGCTAAGTTTTCATGTAATTTGTCAAAAAGTCTGATACTAGTTAGATGTGATAAATTTAGACAAATCAACAACTGTACCTTTAAAATATGATTAGGATTTACGATTAATTGCAGTTGTAGCTTACTAAAACTAAAAAGCTGTACCTTGGTCAAACATGACTCTTTTCTTGGGACAGAGGTGATAGTTTGTCATTTCTTCTTCTTATTCAGTTTTAAAACTGTATGTCAGTCAACTATCATGTTTTTTTTGGGGTGGATGTAGTAGTAAATGTCAAACTATTTCTTCCTCTCGTGGTACCCAACTTGAATTATTCAAGCTTCAACCGGGTACTTGAATAATGTTTAGTAGAAGTGTAGAACTCATATCAATAGTATCTCACTATGAAATTCAACCCATGTAATGAATGGCCTATTTGTTCTGTTTGCTTAGATATGGACTAGCACATTGCAAAGAACAATTTTGACAGCTGGCCCAATTGTAGGATTGCCTAAGGTGGTTTTGCTACCAAATTCCTTTTTCTTTTTATTTCGACTGTGGAATTTGTTTAGGATTTACAATATTGTATCAGTATCAATGTATCATACATCCCTCTTTGTCTGCAGATACAATGGCGTGCACTTGATGAAATAAATGCAGGTGTATGTGATGGCATGACTTACGAAGAAGTAAAGAAGAATATGCCCGAAGAATATGAGTATGTTATCTGTTTATGTGAGCTGCATGTTTAGGGAAAGTTGCTGGAAATTTTAGGCATCTTATTGATAATTTAATAAGAGTATATAAACTTATAATAATGGTAAAGTGAATATTTGACTCATATGTAGTCAATTACATTGCACTCAAGGAAGATACAATCTTAGTAGGGTTTAGGTGGCAGTGATACAATTTTCATTGGTAGTGATGTTTTCCCATCTATATGCTTTTGAATTTAACCAATGTTTCCAAATTTTAACAATTGTGATTTCGTGTTTCGGATTTTTTTGAATAAAACTTGTTCAGATCACGGGAGAAGGATAAACTGAGGTATAGATATCCTCGAGGAGAATCATATCTAGATGTTATACAAAGGTTCGTAATTCAGGGTTGAGTGCTAATTTTTAAATATAATTTGTTCTATTGGAGATCCAAACTCTATATAATGTCTTTGCTCAATGAAATTGGGAAAACACGTCTAAATGGCCCTTGTAGGTTAGAGCCTGTGATTATTGAGCTGGAGAGACAAAGAGCGCCCGTTGTTGTGATATCTCACCAGGTAATGTCATTATGAGACTACATTTCCATTTCCCTCACGCTTTTAAAAAATATTAACTGATTGTTTGATTTGTTCCCAAAATTTGCTCTTAGGCTGTATTGAGAGCATTATATGCTTATTTTGCTGATAGGCCCCTCAAAGAAATTCCAAACATAGAGGCAAGTCATTTCTCATCAGGTCTATAAAAATGGTGTTGGATCTGATGGAGTAAGCCCATTGTGGGGTTACTCCACAAACAATTCAGGTGGAATCTGGCCACAATTATATTCGTCCAAATCTAATCTCCCCATTGGTGATTTGGTGCATTGACAGTAACAACAAACACTTGTTACAATTCTAGTGGTGTGACATCATTAATGCCTTCTTACTCGAAGTTCCTGTTCAATGGCTTGAGCTGTGTTATGTTGTAATATTTCCAGGTACCACTTCACACAATTATAGAGATACAAATGGGAGTGACAGGAGTCCAGGAGAAGAGATACAAACTAATGTAGTCCCCCGACCTCATTCTTCATCCGGTGTAGAAATTGTCAGGTTTGGAAGGTTCATACTGTTGTCAGTATAATACTCCGTATTCGTTAGTATGGGGAAGTTCTGATTTGAAATTGAGATGGAGCATTTTGAAATTGAGATGACCATTACTGTTCTCAATATACATTCTTTATCCTATGATCAATGTAATGACATCCTGGAGAGTCAACTAGCAAAGCACGAGCACTGAAAACTGTTTTGCAGAAAGCAAATTCGATTAGAAGTGGTTAATGTACTGATAATGTGGCCATTGAATTTTGCAAAAAATTACATTATACGGAGTATGCTACTGATAAAAAAAAAGGGGTAAAAAATCCTTTAATATTACTAATTGGATACCCAGTGTACAAGAGTTTGATCCTTAATGTAGGACAAAAGATGTTATCAACGCAATTACGAAAAACAAAAAGTCAGTCATGACCATTTATCAACACAGCTACCAAATGACTAGTGATCGTTAGGAAATGTGTTGGTAATGTTGTGTTTGAAAATGAGTAAAGGGTCAGTTTGGTCCTCGAAGTTGCAAAAAAGGCGTCAAATAAGTCCTTATATAGAAGATTCTGTCCGGACGTGCCATTTGAGGTGGCTCCCGGTGGAATTTTTTGATAATTTTTTTTGAGCATCTTATTCATTAAGTCTAGTTTACTCATACCAAATTTCAGCTAAAAATTCAACCGGGAAGACATTCAAATAAATTCTTGAAGATAACAACACTTTTAACGGCACAGTTATCTTCAAGAATTCATTTGAATGTCTTCCCCATTGAATTTTTATCTGAAATTTGATATGAGTAAACTAGACTTAATGAATAAGATGCTCAAAAAATTGCATCAAAAAATTCCACTGGGAGCCACCTCAAATGGCACGTCCGGACAGAATCTTCTATATAAAGACTTATTTGATCCCTTTTTTGCAACTTCGAGGACCAAACTGACCCTTATCCCGTTTGAAAATTGAGACTATTTTATCCAATGAGTATTTGTTTATTTATTAGTAATGTTTGTAAGAATTACCAAGCGGAACAATTTCATTAAATACAATAGAAAAAATTACCATTAATTACTTCAGATGGCATTCTCAACTGTCTTTTAATACACTATTGATGATAAATAAAAGCGTTATATAATGCCCCCTATGGCCGTATTACCCCATACATTCTCGCGAGGGAACGAACTAAAGAACAGTTGTTGAGTATATCTGTATATACTGACAACTGACAAGTACTAGAGGTGAATTCAGGATCCTTGGTTAGACTAGGTTAAAGAGTTACTCCGTATTATATTAGACTTGAGTATTAGGGAGTGCTTGCAATTGCTTCAACTTTAAAAAAGTGATTTTTTAAAGTGATTTTGGGAAAAGTGATTAATAGTAAAAGTTGGTAGTGTTTGAGAAAAAAGTGATTCTGGAAAAGTAAAAGTTGGTAGTGTTTAGTAAAATAAGTACCTTTTGTGTAATAGAAAAAGTGAGAAGCAGTTTAAAGCACCCTTCCACCTGCTTCCAGCTTTTAGCTTTTAAGTGATTAATTTAAGCAGAAGCTGTCATTTGAAAACACCCTTTTCAACTTTTTTTAAGCCAAAAGCTGAAAAGCGCTTCTTTTAAGCAAACCCAAACACTCCTTTAGTAGAGTGAGGCGTGAGCTAAATAATGTAGATCCCCCATGTCAAACATAATGTAGGCCTTTCTTAATAATTAAGCTTACGTTGGAGAGCATATATAATTGAAGTCTAATTAGCTCTACATCTATTGCTTTTTTAAAATGCACCCATAATGGCGGCTTTAAAGACCAACTCATCGGCTCATCCATACACTCCTGATTTTTTAAAATATTGACCTCATAAATAATGCACTTTAGTTTATTTAATTTCCTTGGTAAAATTAATGCGTTCCTAAACCATAACTTATCTCTACATTACCATTGCTTAAAGTTTAATTTGCAACATCAATCTTAGAATTAATACCTCTTGTTTCTCTCCATTTGAAGCTGCATCTTTCGCACTTTTGGCTCTATTGTTATCACACTAATTCACACCTATGTAGTCTAATGGCTTCCCAATCACTAAGGGTACGAATCACGGTTCCAGTACCTGGATCAATTCGGACTTGAAGGGGCCGTTTTTTTTACTAGAGCTGCTGCGGCAGTTTTGGGTTCAAACCATAGCCAGATCGCTGGTTTTAGTTTTCTGGTCCCGAGTGGCTCAAATTAGGGACCAGAACCTGCCAGTCTTGGTGCAATCCCATTTGATTTATATATTTTTCATTAATTTCATTTAGGGATGCGAGGGTCAATTAAAAAATTAAGTAGCGAGGGATGGGAGGAAACGGGGGGTTAAAAAATCGAGTGGTTTATCGGAGGTTGAAGAATAAGTCAATTTTTCGTAGATTGAAGTTACTTTTGTGGATGAATTAGTTGAAGTTTATACAAATGATCATTTTAATTATTTTTATATAGTAGTAATATTTTCTTTATTTTATTTATGAAATAAATTTATAAATTCAATTTTTTCTTAAGCAAGCAAATGGTTGCAAAGACAAGATCTCCTGTGTAATTGTGTGGATGGAACCACCCAGCAGGCCAGCACCCCAATATTTGCACCCCAATTTTTTTTTTTTTTTTTTTTTTGGTCAATTGCACCCCAAAATTTATGAATGAGGGTTGGAAACCTGTCTCTGCTCGAGTGTTTAATTTTGTTTACTTCTACTTGAATTAAATTTTAAAAGCTCAAAATGACCGTGAATTTTAATTTTACAAACGATTTATAAAATTATTCTCATTAACATTTATATACAGCGAAAAATATATTGTTTTTTCATCCTTGTACAGTTACAACTTAAATTGGTTGAAATTATACATCTCCATCACCGTTTATTAAACGAAGATAATTTTAGATGAAAGTTTCATAAAAGTATGACTTCAGAACTTTTAAAGATACGTAGTATAAATAATCATTTGTAGTTGATCTGTTGATGAATGTTTGTGAAATGTATAATAAGGTTTGACCCTGGTCAAAATTTCCACACTCCCCTCTTCACCGTGACTAAGTAAACCAGCCAGAAAATGTTCATTTTAGGAGGCGTGAAATTAACACGGATCATGAATTAATGTTCAGTATCAATTTGAGAGAGTTTACATTTTCTCACTATTTGTTTTATACTTTTATAGCCAACACCGAGCTTTTAAAGCACATTAGAAAAGAAAATGACATTGGTTAGATATTTTATAAGTTATGTGTGTACTTGGACTATTTGACAAAAAAGGATACGTGTGTCATTCAAATTATGATCAAATGTATAGAGAAAAATGTACGGAATACACATAACATGTACATGAATCATTCAGGATCGAGTCTCTCTAACGGCCCTTAGTTACAATTAAAATTGTGAAAGTAACCTCCTAATGTTAGGGGATTCCTTATATGCAACGAGTGCTGATCTAACCTCCGTGCTCAGTTGAGTGTGAGGAATCCTTAGAACTCGGGATTCAATTTGTGGAACCTTTTGGAATGAGAGAGAAAATGTTTATATCTATTTCAAGTTTGACTAATTAATGACCCTCTCAATTTTATAATGATCTTCAAATTTCATTTCAATCAATACGAAGCACTAGAATATTTTTTTCAGGCATTGCTGATATCAATATGCACAGAAACAGAGTCGAGAGAAGCGCGGCAGAGCGGGCAGCTGGAGCGATTCGAAAGCCATGTATCCACACATTGAGCGTGGAAGAGATGGCAGCAATCCGGCATCACCTTCACCATCTCCGCCTCCTCGAACAACCCCAAACATATGCAGCATTCATTCCTCTCCGCCTCCGCCTCCCCGCCCACCACCACCGATGCATACGTCACCGCCGGCAGGCTCTCAACGGACTCTGCATCCAGCCCTCCTTTCTTCGCCGCCGCCTGTGCTTCCGGCTGCCCGGATCCCGGAGACGACGATCTGAACCGGCTGCCGCACTTGCACTTGCAGACGAAGTAGAAGAAGATGAAGAGAATGGCGAATATGAGGGAGAAGAAGATGAGGAGGAATAAGAGGACGCCGTCGTGTTGGCGTAAGCTGGCGGTGAAGGCGGTTAGGTCTATTCTATACCAGTTTGGGGGTTCCATTTCTCTGGGTAAGGCCATTCTGATCTGATAACCGTTTTGCAGAATTGATTGGAGATGGATAACGTATGGGCTTAGCTTGATCGTCGATCGATCATATGCGCGTAGTAGCTATTGAAAGCCGTCTTTCCCATCCAGCTTACGGCAATATATATAGGCACGTATAATAATAGCTATGTCCGAAACTAGCTACTCGTTGTATTTTAGACAAAGGTACTACACCAAATAGTGGGCGTGCGGAAATTTCATCTAATGATGTGGTGACTTTATGTAGACATGACACTACTTCACTGGTAAACCGTTTGAAATAATATCGTAATTTATTTATCCATCATTTTGTTAGGTCTGAGTGTGAAGGTGTCTAAGATGGGCAATTCCACCTTTTGAGCTTAGTTGAGAAAGGTAAGTTAACAATGGTAATGTTATGTCTTTTTGAGAATGAGGCTATTTATAGAGGTAATAAATGCCAAGTGCGTTAAATGGCAGTACATTTTTGACACTATGGATAAATCTCTGTAGAATATTTACAGAAGACACGTGGTGGCGTCACGAAAGATGAGAGCGCATGTTGCCCTCGCCTTTAAGTGACGAAGTCCATCGGAAGTGTTCTTTAATTTAACTAATTGGTGATTTAACTTTTTTTTTCTTGTCCGAGCGTGCATGCCTGAGGGGACACTTGATGAAGGTCTGCTGATCCTTGTTTGATCCTTGTGATGATATGGACCTCTCCGTGCGGCGGTGCCCACTTCTCGCTGAGGGGCATGACCGAGGATTTAGGTTGTTGGGTTGAGCCGAAATCCAATGTCTTATGACTATGTGGCTAGTGGTTAAGGACTCATAAACACGACCACATATCAAACTAGAGATTAGAGATTCCTGTCAGACCGGTACAACAGGACTCGTCGTCCGACCGAGGCCATTTTCGGCCCTTCCCTGTGGAATTTTTCGATGATATTATTTGAGCATGTTCTTTATCAAGACTAGTTCATGCCCATCAAATTTCAGCTAAATATTCAATCAGGAAGACAGCTAAATAAATTCTTTACCAAAATTGCGCTTTATATGTATATAAACAGCGCAAATTTTTTCAATTCTACATTTGACGTACTTCTCAATTGAGTTTTTAGCTGAAATTTGATGATAATAAACTAGATTTGATGAAAAATATGATAAAAAAATATCATTATAAAATTCCACCGGAAAGAGCCCAAATGAACTCGGCCTGACGGCGGTTCTTGTCAGGCCGATCCGATATGTTGCGCGCTCTCAAATTAAAATGATCTCATCAACAAAATGAGACGAGTAGGAATGGACATGAATGTTGTTCGTTATGTGATGTTGAACGAATTTTGTCATAAAATAGAAAATGCAGTAAACATTTTGTGCAAATAAATTGGACTCTTTTGTCATTATAATCCAAAACTCTGGAAGCATTCAACGAAGCTAGAAATATATGATTGGGTTATTTAAAATTTTACATTGCAGGGACCAAAGCTTATCAATATTTTTTAAAAATAAAAAATATTTACATACAATATACGGAGTACATTATAAAACACTAAAATGACTTTGTGTGCATGACACAATTAACCAAACTATGTAATCTATTTACATGCAGGGCCGGCCCTGACATACAAAAGGCCTTGTTCAAATTTGAATATGAGGCCGTGAAGTATAATACACAATATTAATACTCTCACCGTTTTTAAATAATAGTCTACTTAGTTTTTTTTGTGGTTTTTAAGAAGAAAATAGTAGGGGTAGTATCAAAGTGTAAGGTAAAGGAAATAGTAGGAAATAAAAATTATTAAGAAGAGTAAAGTAATAATGATAGTGTATGAAAGAGAAAGTAGTATGCAAGCTCGTTTCCAAACTGTACAAGGACTTGTAACTAGGCCTTATGTAATAAAGAAATTGCACTAGAAGAGCACTTATATAAAATTCACACATAAATGCGCACACCCACAAACGATATCAAATTAAAATGATAAGTATCAACAACTAAAATCATAAAATACAATCACTCTTTTATAATAGGTGTTTCTTTTTGCAACTGAAAAATAAAATACTTTGAACATAACATATGTGTATGGGCGCCCTCGGGTATGAGTTGCATCTTAGCTTCAATGAGGTGGATGAAGATATCATCTAAACAGCAATAAATGCAACTGCCCACTCTCCTACCTTACTCATTCAGTCACTCCCTTTCTTTATGAAACACATTATTTTTAGGCACCTACGGATCCATATTTCATATACACGTGCCCATGCATATATATGTATATATATACTACTATGAATGATGAAAATATACACATGCTTTCCACTATATATATTACACTCCGTCTTAATATGCCTAATCAATTTGCTCTAGTAGATATGTTTAGGTCAAGGGTACATGTTTAAGAAATTTTCCTCCCATGTGGTACTCTTACCGTACATTTTTGTTTTGCATCAAGTGATTATTAATAAAATGAGAGATAAATTACACATAAGGAAAATTGCTCTAAATAAATAAAAAATGTTGCTTAAATTCCTAAATAGGAGTAAATATATTTTTATTCTCTAAATAAATAGGATCATTGTTTCATTTTACCCCCTCAAATTAGTTGCAATTGTGCGGCATCGACATTACTCTTCATCTTCTCCGATCCGCTCATCACCCCTCGTCCTTGCAAGTCTACATGGAGAGGAACCAATATGCTTACTCAAAGCCATAGTTTACTTATTTGTTTATTTATTAATTTTTCCTTAAGTATGACTAAATTGAAGCTTAATTCCCAAAAAAAATGACACTTTTTACGTATAGATGAAAATATGACTAACAAGCTAAGGCATTATATTTTGAAAACAATTTTGTCTGTGGCAGTTTTTGTCGGTGGCAACGGAGATTTGGTCCTATCACAGTTTCTTTAAAATTCAAAAAATCAGGCTGCTACATGAAAATTGCTAAAGAAAATGGAAGTTTCATCTTGATTCCAACGGGCCCACAAAACTCCAGCCTGCACAAATTTCTTGCTATTTTTTCAAATTTTGTGGGATATTCTAATTTATTGCAGGAGGAATCAATGTATTTGGACCACGAGTGCAAGACAAGCATAGAGGAACTCACGTCAATTTCCAAACTTATTTTCAATTCTCAAATTAAGGAAGCCTATGCAGAGAAAAAACAGTCGCACACTTCAGAGAAACATCACACGCTGCCTCTGAATCAAGCTTACTCAGATGCTTCAGACAGCTTTGATCCATCGGATGACTCTTATTTTTCAGATGACTTTCTAGAGAACGCAACAGAAAGTGATCATCGACCACCAATTTCCAACCGGGAGGACATTCGGGACTCCAATTTCAACAGAGAGATTTGCTATAAATCTCAATTTATCACGCAGGAAACTTGCCTTCCAACTGATAACCTGAATACACAACTCAAAATCTACCGCAAATCTCAGCAGAACAAACGAAGACATAGCATGCGGACTAGATCACAATCTAAGAAATTCCCTTGGGTCTAGCTATTTTATTATTTTTCTTTCCTTCTTTTTTCCTTTTTCCCTTTTGTACTTGCTTTTTGCTTTCTTTCCTATTTTTGCATTGTAACTCTTCTTTCAATTTTCAATAAATCATTATCTTTTTCAAAAAAAAAAATGCAAGTGTAAGTGACTACCAATGCCATTGTTGTCGTCACAAATATGATTGCCACTATGAAACATGTCCCTGCCGTTACGTGACCCCGAAGATCTCATTGTGAACAGGGCCAAAGTCTAAGGCACGAGCTTAGTCCGCTCGGTCTCTAGCGCATAGTCCACCCATTCTAAGTATTGTGTGAGTATCAAATAATTGAATGTTTCTTTGGACCATTAAGGTATGTGTCAATATACTCCGGAAAATTGAAACTTCACCACACTTGGCGTTTCTTAGCTTTGGACGCCGTGGGCCATGATGGCTTCCATTGACTTAGTAAACAAATCCCAACATAAGCCATCCAAACCTCCCCATCGAAGTGGAATTAGAGATGAAAAAAGACTGGTGTACACAAAAGTTGTACGCAAAAGTTGTGCACTTGTCTGTCCTTCACAGACGAGTTGTCTGTTCACAGACAACTGATCTTCGGACAGACAACTTGTCTGTGAGGGACAGACAAGCGTACAACTTTTTTGTACACCTAGCTCCACTCATTAGAGATGGACCGGTCAATGCCAGTTGTGATATCAGGATTGGCAAATCTACGGTTCTAAAATGTGTACATTTATAGCACAACGGATGGGGCTGGTTATCGATTTATCCGGGCCGGTTGATATTTTCTATATAGAAGTATAATAATAACATAATTTACGAATTCAATATAAATACTAATATGATAATTATAATTATTTCCGATAAAATAATACTAATAATCAAAAGACAATACTAATATAATACTAGTAATATTTCAATTGCAATAACACTAGTAATATGATAACTTAATAGTAATAATAATTATAATTAACAAAAAAATAATGAGAAAAATAACACTAACAACTTTCCAACGGATAAAAATAGGTCTAATTTTTAATTTAGATAAAAAAAGAGACTTTTTTTTTTAAAAAAGAAGATTTTATTCATAAAAATAAAAAGTACAGGACATTTTTATATGACACACACAAGTGGAGAAAAAGATAAAAAAGAGACTATTTATATATGAATGAACAAAACCCCCTCATGTAATAACCCTAACATAATCACATCAACACTTCTCTCGAGATTTGCCACGCACCATGCCGCAATCAACACAATTACAATTTACATATAGAATCATGATACGTAGTATGTTTTACTGAAGAAACATGAGTATTATCAAATGGATTTTATGATAATCCGTTTGATAATAAACGTTTTTTTTATTAACTCTCGATAGATTCTTCAATTCTAGCTAAATACGAACTGTACGAACCTTTATAAAAGAAATTGAAAGGTCATGAAAAAAAATTGGGATACAAAGATCAGAAAAATGAATCATATCGGGTGCTTGACAATATTGGTCCAAAATGATGTTCTTGTGAGGAGAAGTGCGTGTCTAGGTGCTCATAACTTTTAAAACACTTTGGCCATGTTTGGTATGACGTAATCAACCATGTAATGTAATGAGCATTACATGTTGATGTGATTACGATATTTGATATGTCATTTTATTTTAAACTGTAATGTAATGATCATTGCACATGTGAAACTCATTACTTTGATATGTGTGATAAGCATTACACTCAACAAGATGTGTATTTGAGATTACAGCTTATAGTCTTATACCATGCTGCGCGCACACACACTACACACACAACACACACTCACACACGCACATACACACTGCACACACCCACCCACACCCACATGT